AATATTCTAAATCTAAAAGCATTAAACTTTAAATAGCTTAGTTAAAAAGTTATTAAACGTTTAAATATAGATCACGTGACACAAATTCGCTTGTCATTTCAGTATACCCATTACGCCATTATACCCATTACGCCACGACTTACGTTATGCTAGTAGGTTTGTATAAAAGGAAACCCCTTCGTATAAATATAGAACAGACCTTTAGAAATAATATTTTTTTCCTTCTAAGCAAAAGCCCTACTAAATAAAGCTAACAAATATGTTATAATTTACCTACTAGATAGTTATTATGTATCTACATTTAAACTCACACTTATAATTACAATTTATCCTTAAATTACAATTCTAGACCTTTACTCCTAAAGGTGAAGAAGTTAACTGCCTTTTAAGTACTAGGTGCGTAACCCCGACTAAAACGGCCTTGTTGTAAAGCCTGTCTTAGCATTAAGATTAACTCCCTTAGTGTGTTTAACCTAGGTCGTGGCGTAATCGGGAGTATGGCGTAATCGGGATAGTGGGGTAAGCGACCCCATCAAACCGACTGCCACAGCAAAACCGAGGATCACGTGATCTACTCTTCAACTCTTAATAACTTCTATAATTGGCTTTGTAAGGCATAGCCCTCTCATACTTATAATCTTTACATACATATACATCATAATTAATTACGTTAGTATGTAAGCTAGTGTGCTTACAAAGTTATTAGCAGTTTTAGATTTACCATACTAAAATTTTGTATAGCAAAACTTTAAAACTTTAATAGCTTATGCAAAAAGACGCTAGCAATACTAGCGTTCTCTTATATATTAGATAGCCTTATACACTTCCTATATATAAAAGGAATAAGCCCTAGTATTTTTATTAAAGGCAATATTAATTAATTGAATTTTCGAAAATTAAGTACCTTTACATACAAAGTTTGCTGCAAAGGTACTTCCTCCCGATTACGCCATACTCCCGATTACGCCACGACCTACGTTAAGCCATGTAGCAAAGAGGGCAATTATTATGGCTAGTGTGAATATTCCGAGAGCGTTGGCAACTACATTAGCATATACCATCATCCATCTAACACGGGAAGTAACAAAAATCTCCCTAATTCGGAGCCATTAGATTCTTTTAGCAAGGCAATTTTGAACCCCTAGCATTTTGACCCTTTTTCATTAGGTTGAGCATGGTAGTTAGTGGTGGCTGTAATCCGGGTTTGCGTCGTTATATTCCAATCTCTCTAGGCTGCTTTCAGGTTCGGGGCTAGGTGACTACTCCTACAATTTGGACAAAGCAATATCAGTAGCTTTAGTGCTTCTCTGAAAATATTGTAGGTATCGAGAACTTACGAAAGATGAGAAGTATCAAAAGCAACCACAGCGAGCCAACTTGTCTTGCTAGCAACGGCATGCTAACTATAACTTCCAATACGTGTGCCTAAGTCTCATAGAATATCTCAGCAATACCTTTGAGGCCCTCTACATCTGTGTTCATGAGCGTAACGGCCTCTCCATCCACATCCATCGTACTTAGAAGAGTCATCATCTTGTCATGAACGAGCCTGATGAGTGCACTCTTTGTGCTTAGTTAGAGACGGTTAAGGCTGTGCTAGTATGCAGCCGTGGATATCTGAAGGAATTTGGAAAAGTCAGTTGAGTGGAGTTAAGTAGTGTGATTTAGTTAAGAACTCACTACCAGGCCTACGTTTACTGTAATAAAGGCAGTAACTATCACATAACCCGCTAATTGTCAGTCGCCATACAGCGGAGAAGATACGTAATGTATGGAACGTCTGATTAGGATGGGCAGTGAGTATCAGATCGGGGGGGCATAATAGCGCCTCGGGCACTGTCACGGGGGGCAAGGCTGGCGTGCAGAGACGCGGTAGTAAAGAGACGGAGGGAGAAGAAATGGGTGAATCACACCCTCATATTGCCTCTTGGGATCCAAAAAGTCTGGGCCTTGCAAAACCTGCCAATTATAAAAATAGCCGGGGGATAATTACTAAAAGAAAAGGCTCCTTAAGGCACAGGAATAGGGCTAAGGGTAGTGTGATTTTGTCTCGGGTTTTGCTGTTAAGAGGTTGGTCAGCCTACAGCTATACAGCGATCATAATGACCAACCTCCTCTCTAGCGCCATGTCTCTATCATTGCCTGTCTTACATGACGAGACTTGAGGTCCTGTCTGAGGTATGGGATCCTCTCTTTTGTGAGGATATGTCTATATCCTTGAGCTATGATTGGGTTGATCCATATGAAGAACGGCTCAAGATTCCTTTGACCTCTTCAGTCGAGATATAGTTTGCCGCTGCTTCAGTTGAAGTAATTCCACCTCTACAACATTTGAGGCTGAAGATCGAGGTGTTTCCAACGCATCGGACCAGCACTAGCAGTAGTGATGCATCCCATAGCGTCGGCTCTACATGTGGTATTGTCAATATAATCGCGTCGCAAACTATGGAACCGATGAGATACACAGTGACTATATCGGGGCCCGCGGGTTAGGAAATTCGTTGTTCTAGGTGGAGAAGAAGGTTTAAACAGATGGCAGCGAGGGCGGAAAGAAAGACTGATGTTAAGTATGGGCCCTTGATATGAGCAGGCTGAGAGAGCCATGCCAACGACACAATTATGATGACAGCAACCATAAGCCCAATGATCTGTTTATTTTGGTGAATACTAGAAATTTCAAGCCGTAGAAGTCAACTCCCTCTTACAATCTTGAGCTGGTGTAGCAAATAGAATCGTGTGTTTGTGAGAGGCAGTTTCCGGAGCTCCCTTGCCTTGATTAGCAGGCACAGCAATAATAGCATAGTGACGGCAATGGATACCCAAAGAACGGCCTGGGCAAGCTCTGTTAATGACATCTTGAAATAACTAAATCCAGTTGATGTTCGTCGATGTGTATGCGGTGTGGCTATGAAGGAAGCATCGCGCTCATTCACTTGGTGAGCAACCGCGTTCGAGGGTAAGGGCGACTGCGACTCCAGGTTGTTAGAAGTCGTTTCCCATATTGGTTTCAGGGTATACATTTATGCGGTTGGATGGGCAAATCGATCGCGTGCTCTGATGTCTGCTTTGATTTCAGGCTAAGGGCGCATAGAATAGTTTCTGATGATAGAACCACTGCTATGCCGATAACCCCTAAGGTTGGCCTAAGGTCACGATGCAGCAGGAAGTAAAAATCATAGTTCAGACCAAGTAACCACGCACGATGACAGGACTAGTACCAGTAAGGCATGATTTAATAGTCTATAATTGAATTATAGAACAGAGGTGCTTGAAAATACTACGACCTTCAAGTCCTATGATCAATAACTATCTGAAATGACTGACTAAAGTACAACGAGTTGCAAGTCCAGAATGGATCTTGATGATGAATTAAAAACTTCCACAACCATCAGGCACAATGAGCCTTCCTGGGGTCTCAAAGACCAAATCCGTCCATATGGGCCTCAAAGGCCAATTCTACTTAAATAAGGACGTTGGTACATTGGATGTTAACCAGGCCCTGAAAGTCAATTAGTAATTGTTCGGCCGGGATGATGAGCTAGAGTACTTACATGCTGGTCGCCTGTGCAGCACGCGGCCTGGTTGCCAGCGCAAGCTTGGCTGAGTGGGACAGCGACGCCGACTATTTGCCCGTCAGTTCTGTTAAAATGTGACTGGGATACCAAGACTTACCAATTGGGATGGTGAGAGGGTTGCAGTTGCCACCCAGAACGCCATTAAGAACGCCTCCGAGTCCGAGGAGGCCACCAGCGCCAACGCTGGTAGACTTGGTGTTGCAGCATGAGATGACTTGATTTTTACCGCACTGTGCGTTGCCTTTGGGTCCAACAGTTGGGCTACCAATCGATGGTAAGGCTGCGGCCCCAAGGGCAAAGAAGAGAACAGCGAAGGTGGTTGGGACTTGCATTTTGAAAGTTGTTTGTGTGAGACGATTGTATATCGGGAAGACGAGTAGTAGAATATGGATGGAAGTGTTTGAAGGAAGTGTTGATTGCGAATGCTTTGATGATGATGAAAAAAAAATATCAGGTGGGAATTACTTGGGCTTTATAGTCCTTGAGCAGTCCTAATTCTCTCCTGAGTAAGGTCACCGCTATACGGAGGCTAGCGATGCTGGTCGTCAATAACCAGCCATCGTCAAAAACACCTTCAAAACTAGAAGTGATATTCATTTAATGCTTGTTTGCTAAGTATTTATTGGAACATGTCTAGCAACGGCATGAAGCGTTATGAAAAGCAGATATTACGCTAATTGAGTTTCCTTTGAGACCGAACATACCATTTATGTGGAGCAGTCAGGTTTCCGATTCAGCTGCTCCACTAGTTTGGTATAGTATGCTCTCTATCACAGTCTTTCATATGGATGTGGCGCCGGCATAGGCATCGGGGACAAGATCAACTTCCCGTTCTTACAGATGAACGGGAAGATGATCTTGGCAGCTGAAAAAGCCTCGATGGATTAGCGACCGATCTACATACATACAACATTACCATTAAACTAGACTGAAGAGGCATGAAAGCAGATTCAGAGAAGGCATTTTATGAAAGATGAGAATGAACCTGCGAATCTGTGCAAATTATACCAAATGATCAGTCACGCGCCTCCAAATGCGGCGGGAGACTACCAGGTCGCCATGCAAGAAGTAAAGATAAATCACGGCACATAACGCTGGACCATGACTCTTAATTTCTAGGAGTAGTAGTAGTAGTGTTATATTTTATTTTCCATTTTTTTGCATCTTCAGGCAAGCTACTTTTATTTCGATTAATAATACATGACATCGAAAAGTTTCCTCGTCTGCCCTTCCCGAGCTAATCCTGTAGTTTTCCTCAACTAGATCAAATGCTATCAGGTCACCACCTTTCGGATATATATTGGATGGAGAGAATCGATCATTCTTCAACAAGGGATGAAGTGAGATGAAGATCCCCATATCTGGCGCTCCAAGCGTATTTCTAGAACTATCAGCACAAACTCTGAATAATAAATTCCAGACTGACATTATCAAATAGCGATGTTGGTGATGATGTAGGCGCCGTGGACACAATGCCTTCTTCGCTGGCAGAGCGATAAGTCCACTCACTTGTCTCTTGGAGCCACCGCTGGTGCCACTCCTTTTTCAGCGGTCTTACTCTGGACTTAACTGCATTGTATGACCGATGGTGATGCTTTGGTTTTCCTTCGTTGAAGAGGTTTTGGAGATATGACACTGGCTTTATCGGATGTGATCTGAACAGCCTTTTCAATTGTAGTTTCTCGCTCTCTTCCCATTTCACTCGCCGGCCAGACATTGTCAAAAGATGAGCTGTGCAGACAGATTCTTGGATATCTTGGATAAAATTCATATACATATAAAACTGGATGGGGGCGGAGCATGCAGATGATTTATCATCAGTAGGATTTGCTCGTTCATATATCACGGAGGCGGATCTATGTCATAGATTGAGACTCGCCGTCCCCAAAGGAAAGACACTGTGCGATGCTTTTCGCACAGCCCCTTGGACAAATACTTCAAGACAAGAGGAAGATGCGAGTGGTGAGCAGAAGAATGAAAAGGCGGTGCCTGTAGCAATATTGTAGATCTGAATAGTGTCCATAATGGATGATCGCGACAAGACTCTCAATGGATCGCACAACCACTCTGTATCAAATAGTGCGTGCTAATATATGCATAGACGATTTACACTAGTTACTTCCCAAATTTGAAAATCCATGCAAGTTCATCTCGAATATGGTGCAGATCAAGTATTCGAAATATATGGTATTAAAGTCGGTTTCGGATTGCATGCTAGCGACAGAAAATTTGGAACATGGGCTCCTACTATGTAATATCGGAGATGACGTGTTCTGGCATTAGGATGAAGTATGGTTTGATGATTGGAAGGTTGGACGGGCTGAAGGCAGACACGAGTCAGACTGGCTTGGTGAAGACGGGAAAATGTATCGCAAAATGACAAGAGGATTTGTTTAACGATTTATTTTGCGGGGTTGGAGAGTGACGAGAATGATCGACTTGTGCACATCCAATTCCATAGGCCCTAAAGGCAATTTCTACTTACACTAGGGACGATCCCGCGATCCCGCGCCCAAAAAAGACCCAGTGGTGCGTAAAAACAGTAGCTGCAACTAGGGTCTAGAGTGGTCGGGCGGAAACAGTCCCTGCTTAGTGTTGAGTCTAGTTTCACAAGACTGGAACTTAAACTTCGGCTATGCACTGCACATCCCCTAGGCCCACCTATGCGCACTAACGAGGGTCTGTTTGAAGTGTGATGCAGGGGTAGGGTCGCATTTATGATTTGGTGCCTTGGCCGGGGTGGAACATCGTTGATGAATGTGAGATATGATGTAAGATATGACAGTAAATAAGACACCGCTTCTCCATAGAAGTGCCCGTGCCTGGCGGTTGGGACGGCGGCTCGGAGGGGTATTGCCTATTTAGTTACAATGGTAGGTTAAGCTAGACATGCCTAGCTTTTTTACGATTCATTGCAAGCCACGGTGGGTAACATCGAATTCATGAACAGAGCTCCCTGGGCGCCCATGCACCGACATGCAACGACAAATGTCCCTGTTCCTGTTTAGTGATAATCAGTTTTGACCCTCGAACAAATGCAAGTCTACCCTTGAATGATGGCCCTGCCTGCCCCTGGTGAGGGTTCTGACTCTTGGTTTTCGAATCAGCTTGAAGTAGTCTCATTTCTCCGCTCGTGGAGGCCACCACGATTCTTCAACCTGTATCGCTGTATATTGCAGGCTTGTCTGAATGCAATGGTGTAATAGTGCCATTCAGTGCTTGATTCTGGGGCACGGTAGTGAACGGACAAATAACAAGTCTAACTGATTTGCGGTTCCATAAAATTATGTTTAACTTAACACGGCAAACGTGACCCTATATTGCCGATCTTGGGCTAAATCTCGGCTCTAGAGATGCAGTATCATCCCAGTCCTAGATGGCCTAAAGTGAGGCAGAGACAATAGTGTAAGGACACAGGGCACCGTATCACGAGAAGTTGCATATGGGAGTGCGAGTCGGATAGAAGTCGGTGCAATCCTATAGGTCTACTACGAAGGATACAAAAAAGATGAAGGTGTAACCCTGTATGGCTGTTCCCTTAAAATACCCGAAACCGCTCCGACTCAGCTAGCTCCCTGTTTGCCTAAGGCTTCCTTACGTTATGTGCCTAAGGCTGTCAGTCGCGACTGACCCGTAACGGCCCCGAGTCTCGATGGCGCCACGTGACGGTAAGGAGGCATCCTTACAAATAGCACCTACGTAACCTAAGGGGCCCACTGTGATTAAAAATAATTTCCAAATGATTTAACATCCCGTTGATCTAACATCCCGTCCTAAGTTTACTAATCGGCCATGTCGTCATATGGCAAGTCGTCAGTCACTGCTCTAGGGATGGACGGAGTCAAACTTTCCCATCGCAGGCGATGTCTGTACTCGTCATGCCTGCGCTTCGGGGAGGTGACGGGCTAGGAGGGAGCCGCATCCTTGTATTGAAACGTTTATCTAACGTTCAGTAGGCCCTTAAGATTGTACATACATAATTCATTTAAACAATAACCTAAGGTATTAGCTCATCTATGTTGATTACTATAGTCTAAACTTTATAAATATGTAATAAATAGGTGCTTAGAAATACATTTTATACATTTATATAATTAGTTAGAATAATTATATTAAAAAAATATATGCTATATATAGCTAGTTATAAAATAGAAATGTAAAATATAATAGATAGGTTTTAATAGTCTATCTATAACGTAGGTCGTGGGGTAAAGTCGGTAGTAGGGTTGGCTACCCTATGAAAACCACCACTATATTAAAAAAATCGAAATTATTCAATTACTATAGTGCTAATTCATCTAAATCGCTATCATGTAGCCCCTCTTCACTCTCTTCATCTATTTCCTCAATTGTAGCCTCATTTATAGGTCGTGGCGTTGTTCTAGGCCTCTGTGAAGCTGTGGCTGTTGCTGCTTCTACTTCTACAACTTACGACTAGAGTTCCTCTATAGAAATGTGGAATTGACCCTTTAAAACTGCTCTCTTACCCTTATTGTGTACTCTACGCTTCTAAATAATTGAGCGTAAGTTATCACACTCTCTTTTTTAAAGGGTGTTACGTGTATTAAGGCATTCTAACTCATCTACTAACTTATTAATATATCGCTTTATAGGAGTATTTAAAACACCTTGATTTAAGGTATTTAAGAGCACTAAATTTGCTTTGTAAAGTGTTTGAAAATCAGGTGGACTACTATTTAAAAATACCTTCTTAAAAATATCATGCTCTAACGTAACGTAAGTCGTGGCGTACTGGCGGGAATGGCGTACTGGCGGTAGTGGGGTTGCAGCTACCCCATCAACAACTTCAAAAAATCGAAATAATTCAATTACTACAGCCCTAATTCATCTATATCATCATCAGAAGGCTCTTCTTCGCTCTCTTCGCTCTCTTGAAGCTATTGCTGTTGCTGCTTCTGCTTCTACAACTTGCGACCGGAGTTCTTCTGTAGAAATGTGGAATTGACCCTTTAAAACTGCTCTCTTACCCTTATTCTGTGCTCTACGCTTCTGAATAATTGAGCGTAAGTTATCACACTCTCTTTTTTGAAGGGTGTTGCGTGTATTAAGGCGTTCTGACTCATCTGCTAACTTATTGATATATCGCTTTGTAGGAGTATTAAGAGCACTACTCTGACTTATTGTAGTAGACAGAACTGTATTTGCTTTGTGAAGTGTTTGAAAATCAGGTGGACTGCTGTTTAAGAATACCTTCTCAAAAATATCATGCTCTGTAGGAGTATGTGGCCGTTCTACTACAACGTCTGTAGTAGGAAGCGTAGCTGCTCGAATGACT